CCATCCGATAGGCTATAATGGGAGACCGGTAATGTTGATTCCTTGGATGTCGAAGTGACATATTGAAAAGAGTCTAGGATGGGCGTCTCGAAATCGGCTACAAGCTGCCCGTTCGGTGACGATGAGGGACCCACCTTTAAGCTTGCTATTAAGGTCACTGTATCCGCGGAGCTTGTTCGGATATTTGGAACCAGTTTGCTTTTACTCGTCAGATCGGCCGAGACGAATTGTGAGACAGTAATACCTTGTTTTGTCCTGAAGATTGTAGTTGGGGGAGATTGTGGCACTCTCGACGGGACACCGAATGTAGTATTATCATGATCGTGTTCACTCGTGGAGGGACGACTAGGCCGCGAGCCAGAGAAGACTGACGGATTGAAGGAAGCGGGATGGAGAAGCAACGATGAAGCAGTGGTCGTCTTTAGATCTGCAGTCCCTTGCCTGTCTTCTGATGCTTTTGATGCAGGGCACTTTGTGCTCGATATCACCGGTAGCACGCTTGGCGTTTGCCATGTACTGTGTTGGATGTGACCAGGATGGTGGTCAGTAATTGTCGAGGCGGACATTCTGGCCCAAAGCGATACAGCTGAGTCAAAGGACAGCGAGATCCGGATTCCCAAGCTGTCTTGCGATAGTTCCCTGTGTGCAATATTAGGGTTACCGTTCAAAACCCACTATTGTCAAGCTGAAAACTAACTCTGTCCGTAGTGATGGATTCGTCGAAACGACCTCTAGCCCACTGCTCAATAAAAAGACAACAATGGTGAACCATCCAACTGCCATGGTGGTATGCAATTGGATCTTTGGGCGCGGCCGATAAGCATTAGGAACAAAGCATAGGTCACATCCAAATATGCTCCTTCATGCGGCTTTCGTTAAGAACAGCTCGGACACATAGCAGTCGGCGAGACTTTGAGGTCGGTTAGCAATGAACTTTCAGAAGGCAGGCACTGTTTGTTATCTACCACAGGGGAAATTTGATCTTCATGGCTACAAAATGAGCGAAGTCACCCAATAAATTGAATGTCTCAGTGTGGATCTAATTCTTTCCATGTATGGAAGGACCGGTCAAGAAGTTGATGTTCGTCTTAAGTGTTTCTGCCCTCACTATCCATACCGTCTGGGCCGACCTCTCAACAGCATCAATTACTTTTTGATGTGCATTGAGGCCAAACGAACTGTTGCACCGCTGAGCATAGAGGATAGGACTATTATGGGGACAAATTGTTCATGAAGAGGTTGAATATATACTTCATACCCTGAAGAATCCGTGGACTGGGCCTATGGGATTCCATGAGCCCATCAAAAAAGAAAGAAAAATAAAAATATAGAAAAAAAGAAACAGGAAAAGAAAAGTCCCGTGCGAAATATAGACCCGTGATCCTGACATTTTACAAGCGCTGCTACACCTTCAGTCCATAGGCACGTTCTCTCGCATTAAGCCTGATTTTCCGCTGGACAAGGTCTCAACCACTACGGTAAATCCCGCGCAGTGACTGCATTCGTTCTTGTTCATCCATGATGCTATCCCTTCTGAAAGTCATTCCCAAGGCCTTATCTTCCGCCGCTCTAATTTGTCTCGCCGTGGTCTTTTCGGCATGTACATCGCCGTCTTCTCTTCACGACGTGTACTTTTTGAACGTACGGAACTGCTCGATGTGCCTATACATGGCTAACCTACAGCAACTGAAGGTGAATGTGATTGGGATCCAGAATCCAGAACACCTAAATTTCCTTCGATCGCTCGTCATTCCCAGTACAGAGAATTCTTCGTCCTCTCTAGAAATAGGACATATTTCGGACAGCCTTTATGAATCTGTTGTTGATGCAGTAGACCACATAAGCGGGCATGTTTTGGACCAGCCCAGTCATGTGCAATCTCTCTTCCCAATATACTATGCAATTGGCCTCTGGAGCTACTGCGAAGAAAAACCAAGCGATAAATCCTTCTCAATTGCTCAAAACCCAGTGCTCGCTTCTTGTTTGACCCGATGGATATTTTTAGGCACTTGGCTAGGTCCGGCAGATGCAGTAACGTCAGACTTGATCCAACCTGTTCTGAAAGGGTACGATCACATTTCACAATGGATCATAGGTGCCTATATCACTGGCTTCATTGCCGCATTTCTTGCGATTGTCATAGATCTCGTCCGATTTCCAATGGCAAAAGTGGCCGTTATGATATCCTCATCGGCAAGTGCTATCTAAGCGTCTTCGTAGAGAGCATGATGACTAGTGCTCAGGTATCATCTCTATTGATTATAGGAGCATCAGTATCGGTGACTATCTTATACCAGCTACTGGCTAAGGGAATCAACAGTCTTCTTCAACATGAAATCACGGCTAATCTCGGTCCACATGCCATGGCAGCAACATGGCTGGCAGTAGCATTTTCTGCTGGCTCCAGTTTGCTCTTGGCTATCGAGGTGTGTTGCTGCTGTCTGTGACTTCTGGCGGCCATCATCTGGCCTTTGAAGTTCGATCTTGGCAGCCACCGCGTGCTTGATTCCAGTTAGACGCAGTGATGGCGTTGCAATCGCGGGTTGTATCTTTGGCCCCAGAGAATGACGCCTCTGTTTCTTTCCTAGGGAAGAAATACACTACAAGCTATCACAAACTGCTAAGTCTGTATTTGAGAGTGAGTGTGTAGACGACCAAGGACTTTCCTAACAAGCTTCCAGCTTTTGGCTGCTACCTTGCGCTTTGTCTAGTAGGCTTTCTCACTACTCCAATATCTTCTTGGTACGATCAGCCACTCTATGCTGTCTCCTGCTGGTTTGTACATTCAAATCAACTCATTCCGAATTGATCTGAGGATACAGTTCCATATCAGACTTACGACGTCAAATCTTCAACGTGTATAAACTCCGACACTATACTGCAATGCGGAGAACTGGCTTCTGCCTTTGTTGGACAAACATAATAATCATTCTGGTAGTTGTCGTAAAGACTGCTCTCAATACTCTTATACTTCTACCCCTAACCTATGATTGGTCTCCACCGCCTTTCCACGTACAGGTAGATCAACCATTATATGAAACAGATGCGCCATGAGATAATGTAAAGCGGACCATCAAGACCCGCCGGCCCCTTGGCATTACAGAAACCAGAGAAAGGAGAGGAAAACAACAGCAGCCAAGAGAAATGAGAGACTACCACGGGCCTGTGTTCCTGTACCCGTGAGAACAGTCGGATTGGCTGACGGAGTTTGAGCCAGTGTGGGCGCTACGGGGCGAGGTTGGGTCGTCTTTGCACTCGGCAAAGCGCCGATGCTTCCTGGACTGGTCATGGAAGCCCAGAGTGCAATGTGTGCTGAAGAGGTGGCAGCAGTACTATTGCGGAAGAAAGGACGGCTGGTATTTCTCCATGGCCTGCTTTCCATCGGCACTGTGATGGTGGGCGGATGAAAGTTGGTAGCCGATGATGACGCATTGGCGTTCACTGACGTCGTACTATGCCTCTCATGCTGGGCTGTAGAGCAACACATAACTGACGATGTTTCGGAAGCCTTCAATTGAACTCCTGCAATGGGATCATTGGCACGGGAATGCTGGTTGAGCAATCGTAGGACTCAGCCTGGCTAGAGCGGCCATGGCACCATCCCGGGGCATCTCCGTCAAGGATACGTTGCGTATGTACGTGTTTGGTTGCCAGTCCCCGAGTCCCAATGCAAACTTTGAATATATACTGCTGATAGGTATACTGCACATGCGGTGTTGACCCATGAAATGTTGACGAAGGCCGTGGAAATGCGCTCTTATACTCGCTATTTTAAAGAACAGATTGTTGGGTGCCATAAGGGTATTCGAAGAGAACAATATTGAGGGATCAGCAGAGATGAACCCATTCAAAGACCTTGCTGTGTTGTCTGCTGTGTAGTGCGTAGATGGTGGCATCCTGCATCATTCTACGCATGACCCACGGCTTTCTCCGCGACTGAATCCCCGGTTGGTCGTCACCAAGAAACAGGTGTGTTCGAAGGGCACGGCTGCCAGGAGTTGACCAAACGTGCTGCAGTCCAGTAACTACACCAACCCATGTTATGGCCATGTAGGCCTTTGCTATAGTTCAATTGCCTGCAGTTCAGCAGAGTTATACTCTTAATACCTCATCCAACAGGCATGTCCCAGCAGTAGTAATTTACACACTCATGGAAGCGGCGGTCAAGTGTGGTGGCCCTCCGAGGACACACTTTCCTTCAGGTTCGAAGGTAGCAGGCAGTCGCAAAACCCCGGGCATTCAAGAGTACAGTAGAAGAATAACCAGGCGGGAGCGCATGGAACACCCCTCAGCATCAGGGCGCCAGCGCGTCAGGGCGTCACAGCGTCTGGTATGGCGGGGGCAACACAGCTTTTGGCTGCGTAGTTGACGATTATCATAGATCATCGTAGCAGCTCATGGCCGGGGATCGAGAGATGCAACCTTCACTGTAGGCGTATTCATGTCGAACCGCCTGCGGCGCCTGCCTGCCTGTTTGGCGGTTGACATGGGAGTAAACCAATCGCCATGACATCCAGAGCCGCGGCCACACACCAAGTCGCTGGTTCCAGACAGGGTCTGTCTAATGAAACCCCTTGTCCGCACATTGATCATCACGAACCTCTCAGGGCTTTGTGGGATAAGCTGAAATTCAAGTTTGCAAGGGGACATTTACGTCTACACCATAATGCGGTCGCGCGGTGAAGTGAACGGACTAGACTCATCTGCAGAACCGCAGAGAAAAAAACTCTTCTTCTACTGGGGCAAATCTACATGGTAAAACATGACACCAAATGTCATTGGTCAATGGTCAGGGGCACAGTGTCGGTACGATATTGATACCGTGGTTATGGTATGGCAATTGGAAACACAATATCTCTCTCCTGCTATGCATTCTGTCACAAGGATACACCAAAAATACCCTTTCAGAATGACTGGCGGATAATCTGACTTATTATATATCATTTTACATCACTCGCTTAGAACTTCATTTGAATCTTGTGTACCCTAGTGCTCTCAAGAACTCTATTCTGGCATCCCTCCCAAGCAAATCATTCACTGTGATCGGTCGTATAGCGCATCGCCTGGTCACGCGGAACAATACGTATCGGCTGTTATTTGTTGGAGGGAAGAAGTGAATGCCTCCCTCGATCGTGCATCATTCCCCGGCGCCTATTCTGCAGCCTGCTCCGCTGCTCGAACTCAATTCTAGTCTACTGTCAGACGACGCTGACTCCACATCAAACTCCTCAGCCTCCGTGATGCAGTGCCCATGTTGCGCCTCGCCCGATATTCCAGACCTAGCCACGCTGGCCGAGACCATTCCAGGCCAGGAACTCAGCATGTCCACCTCGCTTGAAGACCAGTTCCTGAACTCATTGATGATCCAGTTAGGGACCGAATTCACCGCTGAAGTGGAAGCAACCGTACCCCAAGACTGGCTGGCCACAGAGAACTGGTCGTTGATCAACGTGCTTTGCCACCGGGTTTTCGCCGCCTTCCGAAACCAGGCAGCCATTCGAAATTTCGATGTATACTACTATGGAGGCTTCGGCCCTGAGACACCGTGACTGCTATTTCTCGAATGGTAGTGCGGGGACGATTGACGTGGCTGGAGGCAACGGTGACCCGAGATAATGTGCTGGTGGCCATCGCGACCGCTCTGTACGACAGCCTCTAGTCCGGGCTCATGGACAATATGCAGTCTCGGAGTATCGGGGATATGACGACTTGTTTTCGCGATCTGATTGAATTTGTCTGTAAGGTGGCCGGATTCGTGGTCGCGAAAAACGGCAGTACATGCGGGTCTCTCCGGAAATTAAGTACCTAGGTCAGGACCGCATATATTTTAGCTAATATGCTGCGCATCCTTGGTGGAGTCAGCCTCTTCTGTCTCCTTTCTTCTTTGGCCTTGGGGTGACCCGTTTGTGCTATATCATATAGATAGACACATACTGTAACGTTACACTGTACTTGAATAATGTCTTGAGTCTTCTTGTAGACAGAAGACCAGACCGTCCTCAGTCCTATACGCTAAGGTGCTATGACACGGGGTATATTTCACACAAAGCAGAGGCCAAGGAGCAAACCACGGGAGAGCTGACTAGACACAGAGCCTAATATTTAACTAGCTACAGTATGACAATTTTTTCGATATGCGTGCCATAGGCCACGGGGGAAAATGGATATCTGCATCCTCAGACAAGAGAGCATACCGGTTCATGAGAAACAAAATATATTCGACCATTAGCATTGCCTGGAGACCTTCTCAGCCCAGGCAGCAGGTGGTGAGAAATCAAGCAAGCAGGACCACGCCCCCTAGCCTCCCACAATGGCGCTGTCGGCGCACAACTAGCAAGTAACAACCGCCAAAGGCATATTCCCGCGACGATTATGCAGAAGCGCAATCTGCAGCAGATTACCATCCTTGAAACGCTTGAAGATGATAACGCCAAATGCGAGGAACTCCAAAGATACCATTCTAAAGGTCGTAGGGGGACTCCATCAACCCTGTGCCTGGACATGCAGACAGAAACTCAGTTCCATCCAACGGCAGACGGTCCCAGAGAGAACGGTCGTCGCTATCGACTAGGCAAAACGATGAACTTATGCTGGAGCATTCCCGTCCCGATGACACTCGCGGGTAGGGCTGCTCACTGATCCTCTTCCGCCGGATCAAAATCTGTTGTTCGCTGTAGCGGCCATCGTGAGAAAAGTCACCGAATGCGAGTATCTGCAAGGCAGGAAGACCTGTAGGTCCAAAAGCCCACTGAGCAAGCAGGACGAAATCTTCGGCTTCCGACCGTTTCCGAGCCGGCTTGAGGTGGAGGCCTGCGACTGTTGGCCCATGCCTCCTCGACCTAGACCATGGGCCGCCTTCGGCATTTCTCTGCAGCTCTGAGACGATCTCTCTGCGGAGATGCCGATGAATCCTCTCCTCTCCGCTCAGCCGGAGGTGGAGTAATTTTATTGACGAGCGTTCCGGAATGCCTAAGAGAAGGCCTCGCTACGGTGGATCAGTTCATAAAGCCGAGGGGATGGGTGCTAACGATACACTTACCGCGCTGGCTGGGCGAAGACAGAGGCCAAGAGCGACGGGGGAGCTATGCTGTAGGATTCGCGGGATACTCGGTGATGCCATATTCACATCGCGAAGATCTTCAAAAAGCCTTTCAGCGTCGATTGGCATCAGCCGTCGCTCGTGAAAAACCAGACCGTGGAGCGTGGCTCGGTGATGTTTGATGGCATCGCCAAGACCCGGCAGGAACCGAGGAAAGTTGACCACCTTCAGGTACAGACGCCGCAAGCCGCGAAACGAGAGTAGAAATTCCACGGTCGCAATGGACGCCAGTCGGTCTTCTGAGTCGCGCAGGTAGTCGCTGCAGATCTCGAAGTGCTGCAGGGACAACGGATCCTTGACTCGCGCCAACAGCTGCAGGAAGCGCTGCTCGTTGGGACAGTCGCGGACCGTTAGCGCCTTGAGCGCGCGGAACGGTGACGGTTGGCCGCCCGGCAGCAGACTGTCGGGGAACGGGACGCGCGAGAATGTCAAGGATGTGAGTGATGGGAACCATTCTCGCTCACCCGACGTGCAGTCGTCCTGCGCTGGCGGTGGCCAGAAGACCTTCAGGATATCCTCATGGGAGGTGGGTACGCTCGGATCCAACAGAAGTCCAATGGATACTGCCTTCAGTCGCCGATGGTTATGTCGCAGACACTCGCACAAGGTGCGCATTTCGAATGGATGCTGGATGCCTTCCCATTCCAGGTCAGTCAGTGCCGTCAAACTCGATAGGCCCTCTAGACGACGGCCGGCATGAGGACAGGTGCCGTCTGTGATCAAGGAAAGCGAATGGATCTGTTGCTGGTGGCGGACCAGATATCCGTTGGTGTCCAGAATCCCGGCGGGAAGGCAGGTCCCTACGCACCACATGCGACAGGTCAGTTGCGAGTCCAGCAGCTTATGCCTTTGATACATACTGAAAGGAGCGGATGGAGACGGTCTCCAGTCGCGCAAAGACCTGATCTATCTGATAAGACAAATCATTGAGAAAGGCCTGATGGGCTGTCGACTCGTGCGGGCTTCCAATTGTGGGCCTGTTGTGGGACAAGGCCGGTAGGAAAAAGTGACTGTTGTATACACAACGGTGGAACCTAGCGATGTGAATCGGAGCGCTGAACCTTATCTGCCGGGCATGCTGGATGATCTCGCCGGCGCGGGAGCCGGGGTGGTCCCGGAAAAAGGGATGGGCATCGAGAATGTTCAAAGCCCATTCATTCCTCGCACGGAAGGTGATGGTTCGATGAAGCCGCGGGGACAGGGCGGCATATAATCTGGTGGAAACCAAACTCAAGGATCGAACGCTGTGCTGTGGCAGCTGGCATGCAGTTAGCGGTTGACCAAACCCAGATAGTGTATCTACAGTACCACGTCAGCGATGGCATCAATGATCTCGAATGGTAATTGAGACATCATATTCAAGGTAGATCGAGAGGGCTGCCCAGCTCTATCAAATGGCAGCTTCTGCATAAGAGTCCGCGGTCTATAATTGTACAAATTTTCGTATGACGTTTCAAACATTCTGTAGAGCCTCAAAATCCTAACCGGTCTGCAATAACCTCCTAAGTTTACTGTTTACTTAGGCTGTTGAACTGAGGACTGAATGCCAGGTTCCGTCGCTTGGTCGCCTATCTTTTCGGTGGTTTACCCTGGAACTTCCCAGCACACAGCACGATACCCCAGCTCTAGCGCTGGGTGCAGTCGTGAAGAGAATCGTCTAGCGGGTTATCAGCCCATAGAAATAGAAAACCGGTCAAAGATGCGTGAAGCTGGTTAATGAGCCCTGGTCTGCTCTGCTCTTGATTCGAGAATTATACGCCGACTACAGTCATATGCGCCACCCAGCCCGGTCCTCCAAGGAATAGGTGAAATGCGGACATTGTGCGGGCCGACACGACCAGCGCCATTGCTTTCCAGGGATATGGCCACAAAGCCAGCTACCTCGAGAGCGCCCCATCAATACGTCGCAACTCGAAGTAGTGACATGTGACCAACTAACGATATCTAAAAACTCGAGAGGCGGAGCGATGTGACGGATGCAACAGGTCGAGTCAGACTAAGAGCTATGTACTGTACAATGTGAGACTCATAAGTCCCTATAATGAAGGTAAGGGTATTTTTGACTTTTACGTTGGGAGAATCAGTTGGATGTTCAGGCGGGTAGAGAGGAAAAGCTAGTTAAGAAGCCTAGTTAGTCGTAGCTAGACTTAGCTCTTTCGCTTGTTTGCCCGGGTCATAACCCAGGGCAAACTCAAACATGCATGAAGTTTTCACTTGTGCTGCACAGAAGGGGGTCTACGGGTCAAGAAGGCGGTTATATCTTCTGCTAAGTCTTACATGTTTCTTGAACCAACTAGGAATATCTTGTTCTCTTTTTGCCCTTACTTGGCGAGGCGTTTCGCAACTGCGGGCTTCTGTGCTCCCAGCGACGGCATTCACCACACTCTCGTTGATTGTTCTGACCCTCCAAAACTAGTCGAACAACTAAAGTGTCCAATCCTCCGTTAATTACCCCCGTTATGGAGTAGGATATATACAAGTACAGGCCATGTTAGTTACCCCTGAGATCCATCCCTTGCGGAACTGCACAATTTTGCGACCTGCGGGATCAGTTAATTAGAGAAGAAACTCAAAAGTCAATACCCATACCCGTGATTGAGGCGATCTAAACACCTCAATTGGTGATAAGGGGGGAAATCGCCTACAGCGACACATCTACCGCCATCTACTTAGACAAGATACCACGGCAAGTCATAGGCGGTCAATTGATTGGCGATGGTAGAATCTACGTTGGTGGTCTCGTCTGTTCTTCGACAGAAATACGCCAGATGGCCAATACTATGGCGGTATATGACGGATGGATCTCGAAACCCTTGCACTTAAGTAAGTGTAAGCTATACTATAACGTACCAGTCACCCATAATACAATGCATATTATAAAAGGAATAAATCCCCAAATTGTGTGGTGAATGATGTAGTTGCCGGTGAAATCAATGATATCAGCATGAAATGGTCTATCTCAATACTGGTTTGTGAATCCGTCAATCAACCGTAGAGATCCTGGCGAGCACATTCGTCTATTGACGATCAGGTAAGAGGGTTTGTTTCAAGCAACCATGGTGGATGTTCAAGCAAACAGGTGTGCGGAAGGTAAAGACCAGGAGATTCCATGCCAGAAAATTTTTGACGGGTCAATTGCTGAAAGGACCATCACATCTCAGCGGACATCACCGTAGTTTAGAAGGTACTGATGATTATTGACCTAGAGGAATATATAGCAGCCAGCCCCGAGATCATCTTTGACTATTCAGACTCTCGAACTCGTTTAATCACCACACTTACACTGTCCGCGTGCGCAAAGCCGCCTTCCCAAATGGACTTGTCCGTAAGTCAGTTGCTATCAATTAATGAGTGTTCTAACAGTGGGTCAGAATGTATTGCGTATTGTTGCTGAGATAAGTGCTCAAGCGGTTCAAATGGATCGTGACCAGCAAACTCAAAAACACGAGTGTCATGTATTACGTGAGGTGTTGAAAAAAACCACCGCTGAGCGGGATGAGGCAGTCCAATTGGCAGATGTCTTATATGAGAGAAACTAGCAGATGGGCGCGGTTATAGACAACTTCCTCCAGGAGCGTGTAAACAACGGGCGCGAGTCGGAGTCGTTCGAGGTCATATTAACCCATATTCTGCGCCAACGGGACAGATCTGAAACTAGAAACGGATCACAGAGCTCTATCGCTACTGGGGAGGGGAAGGTTAACGGATCCGCTATTGGAGAGAATCCTGGTCCCCTTGGATCAGACACACAGGTTGCAGGCATATAAACGTGGGGGGGAGGGGGGGTTGCACATTGAAACGGTATACTGTACTTTCGATCGAGGTAGTAAAGATATCTTCCATAACATCTTCAGACAGTATAACGTGAAAATTCCTTTTGCAAGCCTAGCAAGAAGAAACAAAGATCTTTCACGAACCTAAAGTCAGACTCAACGGATGCACCATGAGCTCGATCTCTCCGTATCCTTCTCATATACCAGTCGTAGGGCAGTCGGGAACTAGGTAGAATAGGCGGGATTGAATATTATGGGTACAATAGTATATCCCCTCGAATTTCTCATAAAATATTGCCAGCTACCAGCAGCTAAATGTACCAGACCAAATCTAGACCCGCCATCTCACCCTACCCATCCGGCGAGTGTAGGATAACTTCGAGAGCATCACCTTCCTCGTGGACAATCTCAAGACATCATTTTCGCGAAGTATTCAATTTCTTTAACCGACACACCCACCAATTGCGTCTTCTCACCCAAGGCCTGGACGTCAGACACGCTCATGTGCGGAGCCCGTAGTCGTCAATCGATTGAATTCATCCACAAGATCGCTTTGATCTCGGCGTCTCATATCAGCCGTTCCTCCCAAGACAGGTCCATCATATAGAGCCGTGACGATGGCCATGAGCTCATTGCCCTTGGTTATGGTTGCTTCGAGCCATCGGAACGACG